TACTGCATATATATATATATATATATATATATGTACACATTTTATTTAAAAAAAAGTTGCACTATGAAAAGAAATGAACTCCTCCAAGAAATCCTGGTGATGCCCGTACACCATTTTATCAGATAAGGGTAAAGATGTGACTATAAAAAATGCTTCTGTACTTTCATGCCGAGGCAGTATTAAAACCAACAGAGAAATATTGATGTACTATATAGGACAAAATTTACTGACTTCTTTGAAAAATTGTTTGTGGCTTTTTCAGTGTGTATGCATCATCATATAATATTTGTGTTGGCATGAGAATTGTTTATTTTTCATTTTGTAGTTTTAGGTAAATAACTGGTAAATGTAACTTACAAATGCATGAGTAAGAATTAAGTAATAGATATTTTTGGTTGATTATGGTAAAAAATACTAACACATTTTGATTATAAAATGTTTTGAAAAGCTTTTAGATAATTTCTTATTTATGTTATCCAGTTTCTAGCTAAAAGTAGAAATTCAATGTCGAAATATCATTACAGTGCAAAATTTCACAAAGTTCAGTTATTATTACATAACATTATTTTTTAACGTATATAACTTTACACTTTGAATTCCAGTTGAAAATGAGATCTTGCATTCTTAAACAACTCTTTATACATTATTTTAGATTATGTGGATAAGGTTGGTAGTAGTAAGATTTTTTTAATTAACTTTATTAGAAAAACTGAGAAGAAAAGACCAGAAAATTGCTGAGAGCTTGGCTGAGAAGCAAGAAATAATAGCGGAATATCTTCAGATACCTCCTGGTAGTTTTGCTCATTTTGCCGAGGTGGGAGTTTTAAATGTTTATATACAAATAATTATATTAGATGATAGGCTAGTGAAACAGTCACACTAAAAGTTTGTTGCCTGTCATTATAAATACAGTAATAAACAACTGTGTGAATGTAATCTGCTTAAGGATTAAAAAAAAAGGCAGCTGCTGTAGAAAACTGTTCCAACAGTTCTCTTTATTGAGTTATGACTTGTGAATTTAATATTAAGGATAAAGGATAAAAATAAGGATGGGATTTCATTGGCTGAATAAATTCGAAATTATGATCAGTTTTACAATGGAAGTGTTTGTTTTATTTTTTTAAGTAATTAAACTGCCCACAGGAACAGACCACTTTCATGCAATATATGAATAACAGCAATTACAGATTCAATGCACATGTTGAATTCAATTAGTTAACATACATGGTAATAATTATTTACAAAAGACATTAACATACAAAGATGTAGTGTGTAATTACATGGATTGTAATTAGTAGAGATAGAGAGGAGTTTTGGGATATTTATTTAAAGAAGGCTTCAATGTTTTGATCACTGTAGCCTCTGTGTTTTTTTTTAAAAATTAAGAATTTGAATCTTGTTTTGCGATATGAAGTGTTTGAACAGTTATTTAAAATGTTCTTTGATCTATGTGTTCAGTTCTCTTCCAGTTTTGCTAAAATACGATTGTTCACATGTATTACATTTGATTCTATGTATTATTCCTTTGGTGTTCATATGACTTGAATAATCTATTCCAACCCTGTTCTTTATTTTTATACCTGGTTTTTTATATGATTAATGAGATAATGTTAATTTTGTGCTTTTTGATGAATTATTTTCATATTTCAGCAAGGTTGTTGCTGGCATGTTCTGTAAAAGAGGGTAATGGTTATGATAATGTTTTTTGGTTTCTTGTTGGATTGAATTTTATGATTTATTTGTTTTAGTTTCACTGATTATTCTTTAACATTGAAGTAACTATTTTTATGAATAAAAATCTTGGATTTTTTCATTAATTCACTGTTTAAATTATTGGAGGGGGGGGGTACATATGTCAAGTGCATTTTGAATTCAACATTTTAAGATTCCAAGATTTTGTATTGAATAGTGTGCAAATTTTGCCCTCATTGCATTGCTTTCCTGTAAATAAAAATATCAAATCCAGTTGACTTCCTAATGATGTGAACATTCAGAAAATGCTTAGATATATTTTCTTCATCCTCATTGGTGAAGTGGATGTTATATGAACGTTGTTGATGTGGTTTAAAAAACATTGTTACTTAAAGTCACAGTTATAAAAACCATAGGAAACATCATCATCATATCTGATCCAGTATACAGAAGTATGTATGGCTGTATTGAAGGCCTTCCACTCTGGTTGACTTGAGAAGACATTGTCAAATGATCTAGATAAATTTCCATCCATACATAGCTCATCAATTTGGCAGTAAGTTGTATCATTGAACCGAAAGCAAAACGTTGGTGCTAGGTCAAATAATGTCACTAAATTTTTGAAGAGGTATATGTTAATTATTCATTTAGAGTCATTGAAGATAGTTTATTATTGCAGTTTAATTGCATAAAAGATACAAAAAAACATTTCTACTTTAAAGCTGATTATGATATTGAATATATAAACTGCTTTTTTTCTGTTGGCAGAATCCTTCAGTTGCAAACAGGTACTCTTCTATCATACTGTAATATTCGCTTGTTTAATAACTACATGATTGAAGTCAATTTCCTGTAAACCTAGCAGTAAACTTTTTTTTTAAATTCAAGAACTCTAAATTGTTATTAAGTTTAATGTAGACGTTTTTTTAAATCAGGAACTTCATTATGCCATCAAAGTCCAGAACTCTGGAATGAATAGCCAGTGAAGAAAGGTTAATGTATTTTTAGAGCCATTTGCACGTATCAGCTCCTAGAGACTGTAATCTTGCCTTTAAAATGCTAGACACAAAGACAAAGAAGAAACCGTACTTAATTGTGATTTTGAAATATATTATGGGTGATTCTGTCATTACAGTTATTCTATTCTATATACTGTTATTCTATTGCTTGTATAATAAAGATTAACTCATATTCTTTCATATTTTAAATTAATTTCTTGAACTTTATGTTTCTTTCAGATTGCTAGTGATTTAGAGGGACCAAAAGAGGTTAAAGAGTTAGTTCTGGCCTGCATGTATCATGGTAAGAAACTTGTGCCTCAATATTGATTGATTCCACATGTATTGGCCAAACAGAAGACTTATAAAAACCTAGTTGATCTAATTGGTAAATATATATGTAGAAATAAAGAACTGGTCCCTGTTTTTTGTATTACAGTTTAATTGGGTTTCCTCTTGTTTTTTCTTAGTTTTAAGAAGTCTGGAGAATTTTGTTAAACTTTAAATTTTCCATGAGCTTAAAACAGTATTAGGACTCGTTAGTTTAAATGGGTGAAATTCATGGTAACAGCAGTTAGTTAACTATTTTACTTAGCAATGTTTATTTATTTCTTTATATAATCAGTTTCACATTGTTTATCTGTATACATGTGTTTGTGTATATACATACATACATGTTTAAGTATTAATTTTTTATATACGTGTATATATAGACATATACGTACATAGAAACCACATTTTATGGAAAAAGTATTGTATGTTTTGATAATGTCTTATTTAAGAATTTTTTGGTAAGTAACCAGTTATATCCTGTATTTCAAAAAGTACATGTGCATGAAGTTATTTATTTACTAGATATATCTAATTTGTGGTATCAATCAATCAGCCATGTGCTTTATGTAGAAAGGGACATGTATCCTTTGAATTACTAAATTCATCTTTCTCTTCTTGCTGTTAACAACCATCACATTTTTATTTGAGAAACTGGATATACTTTTTTCTCTGACAAGTTCATCTTTAAATTTTGAATAGCAGTAATTTTCATGACTGATTTTATTACATATGGTCACTGAATAAACTCCAAAAATTTTTCTGAATCACCAAGCACATGTAATCCACAAGTTTATTACATATAAAACTGTGCTATGTGGTACATGTGCATTTATTATCGATTGATTCTTTAACAATGTTTTACTAACACAGTATGTGCCTTTATATCTTTCTTCTATGCATAAACCATGCCTGTAATGCAGTTGTATTTAATCCTCATACATATGGACACTGTTATTAGTTTAAAATGTATATATCAAAGTTTTTGTATGAATAAGATTAACCTTAGTTCATATATGTCTTGCATTATTTATACTGATGGTCTGGCAGTTTACTGATAAAAGACTTGCACTTCATTTTAGTATTTTTAAAAATAAAAATAAACTGAAATGCACATTAGGAAAGTGTTTTCTTTTTATCTATTGAAGTTTCACTAATGATCTTCATATTAACCTACTTCTTATTATCCGAGTTGTTTTATGTTTGAAATGACTGATTAAGTTATATGTTATGTTTCTCTAGCAAATCAACTGACATTGCTATTAAATGAATCTTTGAGAGTTAGAGAAGAAGATAGAGTGACTGCTTCTAGCATTGAAGGTAAATCATATCAAACACTTAAATTTTCCATATATTGCACTTAGCAATTGATTGTAAAAGTTGGTTGTGTGGTATTAAAGAAAAAATCATATTTTGTTAAATTCTTGCCTATTTTATTATTTGTAAATTATTAGATCATTTGAAGATCTTGTAACCTCTACAAGGACTGCATTCTCTGCATTGGTAATACCTCATATAGTAATAATTCAAGTTTAAAATGTTACTTTGGTGCAGAGTTCTTGATTTGTATTTTGTAGATATATTTTTTAATTAGTAATTAGAAATATTGTAAGAACTTCTCTTAAAATTTGCTGTATTCACATTTATAACAAGAAAGATTCATACTTGCAGCATCATGTGTAAGATGCTATTTAAAAGATAACTTAGGATTTTTCCACACGATGCTGAAAAATTTAATATTTATTTAATGACTTTAAGCCAGCTCACTTTGAATTTCAACATGTGTATCCAAATAAATGTATTGGTTTGGGCTCATTTCTTTCTATCTCTAAACCAGCATTTGCCAATCTTACAATTTTTTGCTACTTATGGGTTTATGAACAATGTTAAAAGTTCACTTTTGTTTACTGAATGTTGCCACCCCTTTTCTAACCCTTCCTTACTCCTTGGAAATGTTTCTCTATGGGGAAACTGATTGCTGTGATTTCATTAGTAGTCTTTAACATCAAACTTGTACCAAATCAGGCTTTTGGGGTCTGGAGTTAGGTTGTATCAGCAAAACAAATCACTGAAATGTGTGTATGTATGTATATAAACAGGTTTAAAGCTTATTGTATGTATTCAATGTAACTTTCTGAATAACAATTTTAGAAAAATAGTTGGTTTCCACATAATTTTGACATGGTAACAAATTTAATGTTATTTTACACCAATGGCTGTAAATACAGTGAAATTGTATGAAGGTTTTTGATTCAAAACAAAGATAAAATTTATATCTTTATATAATGAAAACTTTATAGTTATTGTGTGCAAACTGTGGAATTCATCCTCAAAGAGGGGTGGGAAGATTTATTATTGAATGTCTGTGCAACTATGACTGTAGGAGCTTATAAATTAAATCTGAAAGTATGAATTAAAAAACATAAGAACTACCATACAAATATTACTGCTATTAAGTAATGTAGTGACATGGGAAAATGGTGAGGGAAGGTTGACAACATGCATGATAAAAAATTTGCATTTTACTGCTTTATAAGAAAGTTTTACAAATACGTAGGAAGGCATAAAAATCAGTAATTAAGACCTCCAACAAAGGAAATCATGTTTAATTGTTTCTTTTAAAAAACATGTCACAATGAAATCTTTTTGAATGTTTAAAGATGGAAATTCTTGTATAATTGCTATGAAGCTCATTTGAAGTTTGAAATTATTTTTGCAATACAGTAAAACAAACAATATAAAAGACACATTAAACTGACGCAACTGGCCATTTTTGAGTTAATTAGTGTGATTTGGTGAGAAGGACCTGACACTGAATCCTTTACTCACAAAACATTAAAAAATATGGAAATAAAAGTATATGTAAAATCCATAGCAATTTGAAAGCTTTATAAAAATCTCTTTTTATAGTAGTAGCTGTAAAGTATTGGTATGTTGATCATTAACTTTAAACTTGCATTTTGAAAGAAGTGAAATAACCAGGTTAACCTAGTTGAAAACATCTAAAAAAAGCCATTAGTTTAAACAGTTTTTCTCAGTAGCATAGATTACAATCTTCCTCTTCAAAATATTAATGGTAGGTAATGGAATTTAATTCATCTTGGAAAGTACACTGGGCTTATTTGGAGACTAACTTTCCATCTGCTAATGCAGGGTTTTTTTATTAGCTGTTAGCAGATGGAAACTTAAACAAGTAAATGGAATGTGTTAGACCTTCCAAGAAGACATTTTAGACAGGTTTTTGAAAGAGTATATGCATTTATGAAATATGTAATATATTATTATTAATATAAAAGAATGTTTTTACTTCTTTCAGTTATATGTGAAGGAAGCAGTGAAACACATTCAATTACTCCATCCCCTAAACCTAGTAGGAAATTCATTCGTTTTCCAGGAGTTCCACCTGAAAGATTGAGAACAATCTCCTGCACTTTGAACCGTCATTTAACTCATCTTATGGTCAGTAACAAAAACAGTTTATATAAAACTCAAAAGTTGCACTATATGCATAGCATAAGGTTGTTTAATTTATGGAGGTGTAATAAATGGTTTTACAGAATAGCTAAAAACATTTTCCTTAGTTCTTTACATCACAATCTATGTATTCTTTACATTTTTTTATACCTTATATTGTATTTCTAACCTGAGTTTGAAAAACATAACTGTATGTACAGTTGAGTAAGCATAAATTACCAGTTTTTTATTAATTAAGAGTAATATGTTTCCTACTGCCACATTTCATAAAATATTTCATTTCTTCTTACTACTGTTTCTGATGTTATGTTTCAAATAATTAATTGTAGCTTGAAGAGTTCAGTTGAATGTTTCTAATTCCCACTGCTAAGTAAAGTGGTGAATCATAAGCTTATTTTTATTCTGTGTGTTTGTATCAGTAGTTGTTTAAAAGGTAGACTTGTATTTTGTTAGTGTGTTATTTTTCAGTTCATTGCAAATCTACTGTATTACATTGATATGATTCACTTCTCTCAGTCTCTAGTGACAGAAAGAGAGGAAGAGAGGAATCAGCTTCGACAAGAGCTGCACACATCAAGGGAACAGATACACATGTTGCATGAAGCTCATCGTCATTGTGGTAGTCTTCATCTTCCCTCCCCTAACACTACAGAGAGTCGACCCAACAGCTTTATCTCTGTCACTTCTTCCTTTTCAGAAGGAGTTTATGATCAAGAATCAGGTAAAAAAAATGGAAGATTCTTAAGAGTTGTTTGAATAAGAAACAGTTTAAAACAATAATACATAAAAACTGTATAGTGCTATGAAAGATTGATAAATTTGTGTGGTATCTGTAAACAGAAGGGAACAAGATTTCTAGGGCTTCAGTAAATAGATGTAAAAAGTAGAAATAAATAAATTAATATATATTTGTGTGTATCAGGATACATGTGTAAAATATGAACAGAATAGATTACCATAGAAACAGTACCAAACATATATTAACCCCTTACCTACCAGGCCATTTTGTCTTATTAGAAAATACTTGTTTATTGTTTAAGTTTACTTAGAAATATTATTTCGGGTCTTGTATATTAACCATAAGGAGAGTACGTGATTATTGAAAAAATTAAAAATAGACAAAATTTGCATTTCATGGACGGTAAAAAGTTTTTAGAGATTTTAAAGTAATGTACTAAAACATAAAAAATAATAATTTCAAATCTGGAACAAATATAAATATCATAATCATTTCTTATAAATACCATTTCCTAATGTAATTTTCCAAGATATTAAAGATCATAATGCAAAAAAACTAAATTTATCAAAAGTAAAAGGCTTTATGTTTCTTAAACTATGTGCATTTATGAAAGTTCTTATGAAGTTTCAAACAATTTCATCCACTAGTTTTATTGTTGGAATGAAATATAGCAAGACTTGCATTTGCTACACAGAAAGTTAGTAGCCGTTGGTCATCGGGTTAATAAAAGTGTATAATATATGAAAGAGAATGTTTTTATATGGGAGTGAAATATACAGAAAATAAATATATTTCTTTTAACAAAATAAGATGTATCTTCTTAGTTGTAGTTATTTGTAATTTGAATGCTTATTTTCCTTAATGCTGCCTTGGGAAGAAGGATTAGGTGAACTGACCTCTGTTTTGTAAGGTAAGCAATGGGTCCCTTCACCATATATACAAAAAAGTAAGAAAATAGCTTTTTAAACTTCTACATTTTATCAAATGATAAAATACCTAGGTATAGGTTGAAAAGTGAGGCAGTGAATAAAATCAAATTCAATAAAAAAAATAAGCAAGTTTTGTTGTTTAGGTGTATGTGGTTGTAATTGTAACTTCTGTGGTTTATCTGCTTCATTTACACAGAAGGTCATCAGTGGAAGTGTATACATGTATCTTGAAAAGTACCGATTGATATACAGCTCTATCAAACAAAACCTTTTGTTTAAACTTGAGAAAATGGTGCACTTTGTTTTTTTAATCCACCTAAGTTAAGCCTTTGTTATATTAAACTATTATTTATATTTTCTGTTAGAAATGACTTCACTGGATATTTTGTTGTTATTCTTGATCAGATTCACATGTTTTATAGAAACAATAGCCAGAGAGAAAAGTGAAAATATGCCACCAGAAGATGATGAGAATCAGTCAACACCTTGTGAAGAAGAATTAATTCCAGAGATGTATCTTGATGCTCTTTCTGATGAAGGAGCATTGGAAACTGTTTGTAACCAGGAGATGACAGACTTTGGTCAAGAAGATAGTGGTGATGCAGTGATTTGTAACACAAGTAAAGTACCAAAAATTGCTGTTCCTGAAAATATCGCTGAATAATGTTGAAGAAAAAGATTATTGAACAAAGAATTGTGGCAACAAAAAAAAAATTCATATTATCTGAAGTCAAATGATAAATCTGAATCTTGCATGGGAGAAACAAAAAAATATATTTTAAAAGTTGTTGTTGAATGGAATGTCTATACATAGTTTCATGGAAATGTTGTACTGAAAGATGCAGAGTATCATTGGATCAAATGTTAAGTCATTGTTACTGAGTTAATAGCTCATTACTGAATGGAACAAATAGTCCATTATTAGGAAAAGTACATAAGATTTTAGAAACGTCCACAAAATGCAGAATTGTGCCTGATATAAGGAAGAGAAAAAATGATTATAGATTCAGATTGTGATCTCTCTCTCTCTTTCTCTCTTTTTTTATCGTTAATTCCCTGGCTTGTAAATCAGTACTGTTGACTAGTAGTAATGTAGCATACTAGAGTTTAAAGTTAACCATCTTATATTTATAGGTGGCAAAAAGTTCACCGACGGTTTTACTTGTAAAACAGTTTGTATTAATTCCATATTTTAGCAGTTAGTTGGTAAAGTAACAAAATGACACCTTTTTTTTTCTTTTTTTGATAAACTTTTGTGTTCATACTATGTAACTCCAGAAATTACTTGAGTCATGTGATTCTGATCACACGGTGGCAAATTTTAGGACTTTTGACATTAGTGTAACTTATATTTAAAGAAAGTTTACATTGTATTTATTTAACATTTCTTCTAAATATTTTTATTTTTTTTTTGCAAAGTCTTTTAACAGTTAAGTTAATGGATTTAATGGTAATCAACCATATAGATTCATTTTCATAGTGTTTGCATGCTTTTTTGAATTTGGGAAATATAATATCAATTTCACATGGATCATCTTTGATATTAGTTAATTAATGATAATATAGGAAACATTTGCTTCTCCGTTAGGTTTTCACTCACGATTGTTAGGTGAAGTAATATAAATGAAGACATGATGAATGAATATTTGTGACCTATCACCTTGAATTTATTCACTGAATTGTTTACTTGACACCATTGAAATATGGAGATTAATAAGATTTTAAAACTGCATTATACAATTAAGCCACAATTGTATGCATAGTATTTTTTTGTGCATGTAAATTGTCATATGTTTTGTCTTAGGTGCTACAAACTAGTGTGTTACTGTCCTTAACAAAACTGTAAAAGTAACTCTTAGGCCAGTTTTTGCATTTATTGTAAATTTTGAACATAATATCTTCCATATGCTGTGTACATGACGTGGGGTACAATCTGTATCATTACAATGTAAATACTAATGTGATTCCATAATTGGTGTTGGCTTTTTCCAGAGCACAATTGTAAATTTTAGATTAGCAGTGTATAACTAAAGTGAGAGATAGATATTTATCTATATATGACCATGTTAATCTATGGATTAGTAAACCTAATTCTTTTTTTTTTTATTTACTTTGAATAATGATAGTTTTTGTTTTTCAATCAGTACAGTAGGGTTTAGCCTATACCCTGATTTTGGTACTTACCAATTTATGTAGGGAATTTTAAATCATAGCAAAATAAGCTTAATTTTAGTTCTTCAAGATACTTTGGATAAATGGTCTGTCAAATGTAAGTATCTATTATAAAACTACTGTAATTTTGTGTGAGTTGTTATAGGAATTCAGAAAGTAAAATTTTCTCTGCAATGAAAGCGTAATATCATATTGTGCCTACTTTTGAAATAGAGTGCAATCAAAAACAACAGCATTTTGAGAATTGCATTGTATTATTGTTTCACAACAGTACAAAAAAGTAATGTCTCTCAGGTCTGAAAAAAAAACTGAAATGTCAGAGCTAATATTCCTGTGTATACATCTCATAGACATTTTACATGTGACAAAACCATTGTGTTCTTAATTCAGTTGTACAGAATAGATGTACAACAATTACATTTTGGTGGATACATCATCAGGACAATGATTATCTGTTATTTATTTATTGGGTTTCACATTAATATTAAATCTAAAAACTTATTTCATTATTCAATCCAAAAGAGTTGTTCAGGTCCAACTATCGTGACTGAAGTCCCATAAAAATACATTTACACAAAAAGACAGCCAACAGCAGTGTTCGTGCTCATAAAGCTTTGAACAGCTATGTTCTACTAAGCAAAATTTCACTCCACAGCAGTGATGTTCAAGTCATAAGTTTATTATTATTATGAAAAAAGAAATCAGACAACTTATGAAAAATTCTCAGTCACTTCTAATGTTCTGGTGTTGAGTATGGTTAAAATCAGCAAACATTACATATAAAATGACAATACTTAAGGCCAGTATTCTAATGGGAAAAAGTAATAGTCATCAGTAGTATTAACATCAAAGACATTTTCCTCTTTGGTATGGAAAAGTATTTAAGAATATATTACTAAAACTTGTAATATTTAAACATGAAACTCTTAAGTAATTTCTTAGGCATAATTTAAATAAGCCAGGAAAGTTAATAATAGCTTTATTATTTACCAACATTAAAAAAGAAAAATGATAAACTAGTGCTTTTGACAGGTGAACCTGTCTTATTTACAGGTAAAAGCAGAATGGTGAAATGCAGATATGGGACAAAGTCATGTTGGTGTGAATTATTTTACATATAATGGGAAGAAAAAATAGTTTGAAAGTTGAAGACAAGATTACAAAACCATAGAACAACCTCTTAATATTATTTATTTGTTTCATTTTTGTATATTTTCATTTTTTTAATTGGTAGGGCTATAATATTATATGATTGTTTTTAATATGGTTTACTAAATTTTTTTTACTATTATGAATTCACCAGCCAAGAATAATTTTGTCTAAAAACAGCAACTTAAAAAGTTCAGACTTGTCAAAGTACCAGTGGTAATACTTTTATTTAAGTCAATATTTCCCAATAATTTTTAAATTAAAAGGAAAAAAAAAAAAGCAAATGAAATGATTTAAGACTGTCATTGGTTTTTAGTGTGACTTGCTGTATAAAATGAAACATTGGCTTTAATGAACAACCTCTAAAGCTCTTAATGTTTTGACTTTAAAGTTTGCATCTCTAATATTAAAAATAAAGAAAGCCACTTTCCAGAAGAAGATTTGTTCGTTGGCATCACAATACAGCATCCAAATTGACTCTGAGAAAAATAAACACCAGACATTTTATTTGTCCAAAATGCTACAAAATTCACCTCTCTCCACATGGAAAAGAAAATCCAAATTAAGCCTAACTCAAACTGCCAAATGCTCACGTGATGTAAAAAAAATGGAATATTGCCCTTTGCATTCGGTTGTGTCCTGTGATTTTTTATGGCATAATAAGGAAAAATTTGATAAAGTGAAGCACTTTATAATGTTAAGCATTAAACCTAATTCTGCTACAATAATAAGATTAGTTACCAACATCAATTTTTTCTTTCAAGTCCAAGAAGTGTAGTTTTCATTTAGTTTGAAATTATATTCCAAATGTACACAGGGCTGGTTCATTGGACCAAACCTGTATTGGAGAAGGAATGTTGACTATAATTCTGAATTTACTGCATTTACGTGGCAAGCTTCTAGTAAGATGTACAAATGTGTTTTAAGCAAAAAAAAAGATATGGCACAAAAAATACTTCTACTCATGATGTGTCTTTAAATTGACAACACCAGTCAGACTCTGACAAGGCAAATTGCAAGGTGCTGTTCATGGAAAAAATAAAAGTACTTTTGTCATGGTACAGTTTGCTTATCTACAGTTTTTTTTTCAGTATCCCCATATATCTTGCATCTGGTATTTACTCTCTACTGCAAACTGTTACTAAATCAGGAATGTAAAAGGTTATAGCATGCTCACTTTACCCCACCACCTTGGCAGAATGTTAACAGTGTTTTACAGTGTGAATAATGATATGAAATCCAGGCCACTGCTGAGACATCTTGAGGAATAAGGATAACATATGAATCTTTTTAAATTCCATGCCAAAGGAAGTAAGATAGCATTGATCCTCAGCAAATGAGTTTTGAAAAAAAAAATTTATTAAACATGACCAAAATGTTTTTATCAGGGATCAACTCAAAAGTGCACGCTAATCTTTTTTTTTTTTTTATTTTTTTTTTTCCCGTATACACCAAACATGAATTGTCTTTTTTTTTAGAATGAAAGTTATTTTGTTTGCTGAAATAAGATATATCTAAACATTGTCCAGTTATGACCAGAAGCTTAACTCTTTGGTTTACAAGCAAGATAATTTCATTTCACTGTGAAAACTCATGTTAGATTTGTCCACAGTTAATACTGATTAGCGCACACATTGTTTTTTAAGACCAACTTTTCAAAACTTGCAAGCACAAATGTAAACATATACATACATATAAAGGAAAACATTTAACTAAATTAAAATATCTAACCTTCATTTACAAAAAGAAACAGTCTTAAATTCAAACATTTTATATTTTCAAAACTTGATTTAAAAAAAATATATTTTAACTCTGTATTGAGTCTTAAAATTAGTAATTACATATTAAAACTGTATTTAAGTTTTTCTTTGCTTAAAAACAGGACACTGTTTGAACCAAAGAAAAGTTTAAAGTATAACTGTTATTAGTTCTGAAACCTCTTGTGTCAGTAAAAAACTTTGAACCCAAAGATGCTCAAAATAAAGGTGATTCAGGTATTAACATTAGCCAATTCAGGAAAGATAGAATTAAATGGTTAAATATTGCATTTTTAAAATGTACATTCTTTTAATACTTCTCAATTAACTTTTTTAATTGCTTTTCTATATGATTTTGCCCCCCTCTCCCAGTGCCACAGCGGTATGTCTGCGGACTTACAACGCTAGAAACCGGGTTTCGATACCCGTAGTGGGCAGAGCACAAATATCCCATTGTGTAGCTTTGTGCTTAACTTAAACAAGCCATATGCTTTAGTATAAACATAAAATACCATTTTCGTTTGTATTAATGTATACCGAAAAAGTCCGAGCAAGTAAACTTAGTTTATATAAAATTTACCTAGATAAAGGTAATTTTTCAAAAGTTTGATCTCTGTTAAATTTCTAGATTAAGACCGTTAAAATCGGTTACTGATAATCTAATAAAAGTTTGTTGTATATGCTTCCCTAGAGTGAAAAGATATTTTGAATAAAATAAAGAAGATGATTCCTAATCTATTACATAAAAAAGTGTCATTCCCCTTTAGTAAAGTTTAACTGTATTTTCGAAGAACAGCAATTCAATAACATTTTTTGTAATTTAAATGCAATCTTAATTTTAACTGTTAATCCATTGACATCAATGGCGCAGGAAGTATCCATCTCGAACTTTGAGTACCAATTGAAATTTTTCAAAAAGATTTTTGAGATATAATCATCGATATTTTTCTTTGAAGACGAATATTATTTAATTCCCCTACTGATCTATTTGCTAGAGAATATATACATTGAAAACTTGACTTCGTGTTTTTGTCTTTGTTTTCCATATTGGGTTATTAAGATCGTACATTTTCCCCCAACAAATACTGCTGGTAGAAGGAGAAAATGAACTTGAAAAATTTTGGAAATTCATCGAAGAACGGCTGTAAAACTTTTCTTTTTGATTTTCATGCCAGAACAAAATGGTATTTATCTTTTTCAACTTACTAATATGATCATGCCAAAAAAAAAGAATAGTTTTGTGGCATGTGAAAATATAATGTTTCAATTACACTTTCAGAACATTTTCTTTACACAGTTATATAAAAATAAATTGAGTGATGCTGAAAAGTTTCTGCTTTGATAGTCATGCCGACAAAGAAGATACAGATCTGCCTTTTGGTTGAATGATATATTTTACAAAAATGGTAACGTATTCAAATATGATCTCAATAACTTTCAATTCTTTTAAAATGATTGTGCGATTAATTCCTTCTAAACGTCTCAGTTAGTTTTGGCTAGAATTAAAAAAAGAAGGGACATGCCAAATATATGTTATAAATTAACGGCTAAGCCTAACACATAAATTTAAGGCTGGCGGTAGTGATATTGTTGAAAGCAATAATTTAACCATTTCGAGGGGGGGGGGCATCATTTCTAGACCAGATCGAATCGTAACCTTTTATATGAAAACTTGAAGAATGATCATGTACTTTTTAAACAGGGCTATCAAAAAATTTTCAACCTCATCAAGATTGAGAAATCTTAACACTTATCTTCCATTTCCTTCTAGAAGAATGATAGTTTCATCTTAACAAGAAAAGAAAATAATTACCCCAAAAAACGGATAATTTTGCTTTACCCATGAAAAATAACTTTCAATCCTATGCAACAAAGGTTGTTTGTCGGGCAGAGGAAAATTGTAAGCTTATAAATCTCTGAAAGAAACTTACTTGATAAGTTATATTAAGGCATATATCAAGGTTGAAGAAGAAAATCTTATGTAAGGATCCTTTTTACTTTTGTGTATGTGACATAGAGAGAGAAGGTATGTAAAACAGAAAAGGTTTTGCGTTTTATATTTTCCTTGAGAAGTAGACTTTATTGATACACAATATATAATAAAGATAAATAATAGTTTTCAGAACTGTTTGCTACATAAAAACACAATTACATAACTAAAATCTTATTATAATGATGGTCCATTATGTGTGTTTGTTAGCATCATCTATCATCCAGAATTGGCTGTCTCGATTACCATAATTTTTTGTGTCGTACTGGAAATTGTCCGAAGG